ATCAAGGACCTCGTTGGAAAAAGACTAAATCCCAAGGTCAATATTCGTTCCGCTCTCCCCCGAGTATTGGCTCGACAATATGTACTCCATGTATTAGTTTTAACGTATTGGGAGAGACTTACGTTAATTGCATCCTGAGGGACCTGACGTGTAAACTGTTTAGTAAGTGCACAATGTGTCGCCTCATAATCACGTTTTGGCAATTCAATTATGAAGTCGTTTCTGTTATACAATGACTGTACCGACTGCTGCCATGTGAGATCGAGATTGACCGTAGAAAGCGTAAATTAAATGCTAAGGATGTCTCTGGCACTATTATTCTTGCAGGCGGCTGTGCCTCTCTGTAAGATTTTATTGGAGAGAACTTGTTCAGAGACGGACATTATGTACAATATGGTTGACAGGTTAAATGGTATCTTTTGGTGTGATATAACAAGATGTTTCCGAATTGAACGATATTTTCGTTTCGTCCCGACCCCGTTTGGCCTGTTAACTGATGACCTCTCCAATCGATTGGGTTTCCAAGAACATGATGGATAGATGTTGAAAAAACAATAGTAATGGCATTTTCTTATCGGGCGCAAGTAACGAAAGTTCAAAGTTGATTGCAAGCAATCTTTTTTTCTCCTTCAGTGACGTCAAGTTGCATACGCAATAGCCATGTATGACAAACACAATAGATTTTCAGTGATCGAACTTTATCCGGTAAACCCATCTATAAGTGAATTAATTGCTGTCGGGAAAATATTTGAACCGGCGTCTGGAGATGCAGAGTAACTGTGAGCAAGAACCTGTTTCCCATTAATTTACTAGAAAGTTTGGATTAATGCTCTAGTATTTATAATTTTGATCGACATTTATGGTCACAGAACTAAATCTGCTGATCGAACTACACAATATAAGTCTAGTACGCATCACAGGCTAGTCTGTTCAAGTCTGGATACCCACTCTAGACAACGACTAATCAACTTAAAAACTTCCTCACTTGCCATAACTTGTCTAATAAGCATTAACGGATACTATATACAGTACGTTAAATAAAAGTCATTATAGAAAATCTGATAAAACATGCATGTCTTGGCAAAATTGATAATCGTTTTGTTACAATTATTATGGTCTATTGTTAGAATATGTCTTTGCTTTTACTTTAGACAATTAAAAAGCATGCACAAAGATTATGTACTTTTTTATCTATTATCGCGTCGGATAGTACTTTGGCCTTATGCTTTTTCTTGATAGCACACATTAATAGAAATATTTATATTGTATAAATAAACCAAAATGGAAAAGGCATTTGATTGTTTTGTGTCTGTCTGTTTTTCTTTCACACTCATTCTCACCCATCACTCGCTCACACAGTTCTTTCTCTCTTGTTACTAGAAGTTGCTCATCACTCATAATGGTTCTGTAATCTCATATTCACACTTTAACAAAGAGGCTTAACTTTGCATTTAGGTTTCTTCAAACTACATGAGATCAACAATCAATCCGTTACAACTTTTTTTTTATCTTATTGAATGAAGGCGGTACATCGATTAAATAAAAATACTAATGATCGATCCGATTCATCCTGAAATTGGGATCATTTAAATGTAACTTGTCGGGCCGAAAAGGTATCATTTAGTACGAACTATTGGTGGGAAAGTTTTAATTAATACCAGACTATTGGGATGAAATTTCCACGTTTTCACAATCTGCTGCTTCTGGCGCGCACCATACTATATATTGCGAGATTTTTCTAGACAAGCTAATAAACCGTAAAAGGTATAGTTTTTATTGATATAAACAGTCATAACTGTACATAAAGTTATTGGGACGCTATAAAATAAGCAAAGCGATAAGTATAAAAAATGAAAGTTAATCGCAATAATAACAGCGCTTGCAAGACATTGGCAGATTAAACTGCTCATGTACGTAAGTCTATACATTCTTTCTAGTAGTAACAATAAAAGAACCGATGCTCAATTTTTAATCGATACGATAAAAATTTATCGCTTGGTTTGATACTTGTGCTAATCATATTCTGCTTGCTCATTTCAAAAATTCTGCACCAACGTAAAAAGACGACAGCATGGAAAGCAATATCTGACTTTATACTGTTAAAAATTTATTTAATAAAAATATTGATAGTTACTTATAACGACGTATACCTCCAACCACAAGAGAGTCTTGGTAATGTAACATTAAAAAGACATGTATTACTATCTATAAAAGACAAACAGAAATTTTCTTCTCACTCTCGAATTATAGCCAGTATTTTGTCAATGTCAGCAGTTGATATCCTGCCTAATTGAGTATATTCCACTTTCGTAACAGCATATCCGGGGTGTGTGGGCTCGTTCATTACGTTAGAATTGTTCGATGAAAATGACGTTTGCGGAGGCGTTTGCGGAGGCATTTGTGTAAGAACATACGAAATGGATGTATTATTAATCATGCCGTGATGTTGAAAATTCGTCGTACCAGGATAGGGGACGGAGGAGCCACGGAATGTCTGAAAAGATATTGGGAACGGACAGGAACTGTTTGTGTGTGTTTCGACTTGATCATAACAGGCCGGTGGGCAGGGTGTATTCAACTGCCCATCCATCGTGTCAACGTTATCCGGACCAGAAACTGAACAATCACCTTGATATGAGGTATGATCGCCTGTATTTCTGTAGTCCATAGTATTCATCGTTATACCGACATTATCGGGGGTAACAGGGGGATGAAAATCTTCAGTATGAATTGGGGCGAGCAAATTAATGGGCGTTTGAATTGGAGGATGGGTGTCATCAAAGAAGTCCTCCGGGTAAGATGATTGAACGTTATTATAATATCTGACAGAATCGTTGTTCATATTATTCAGTTCATCAATGTACTTTCAATTTCGTGTTTGCTCTTGCAGTTTATATAAATGATGCTACATTGTTAGAGCTGAGTCATAACAAGTATGATTAGACCGAAGGGATCCCACGCACGAAATTCGGACTGTGAGAACTTTCTGCATATCATGCAGATATAATAATCGAAAACTTCCCATATATTACTTTAAAGACTTTGAAGCATCCATCAAAGGGAGATCAAAGTTTAATGGAAGGTTCGCGCGAAGATCCAAAATATTATGAAAAGGGAAAATTTATGCGACTTTTTCTATTAGCTTTAGCGGGCTTTGTGTAGCTCGTGCCTTCCGGAGTTCCGAAAAATTACTTGTATTTCATATTCAGTATAAATTTACCTCATTTGCGTCCTCTTCAGATACAATATATCCCATCCCCAATATTTTGCCCATATCATATAGTAATTTATTAATACAGTCTAGCCTGGTTATGACGAATTCTACGGGACTGGAAAAAATCTTCCTTATAACCAGAAATTCCTTGTAACAATTATTATAGTTATTATGGAGACAATCTTCATTATAAACAGATATCCGTTATAGCCCAAAGTTATCATACTCAGTTATATTCCCTATTACTACTGTACTATGGCAGCCATCACTAGTTTATCGTCCCTACCATATTTGGTAATATAAAATTTTCAATTACCGGGCGATGAACCATCTCTCCCTTTAGAAGGGCAATACCATATATGGTAAATTAATATTTCCTATATAGCTATTTTTGAGATTACTTGTGCGATCGTATTATATCCAATATGAAGCACTCCAATCTATCAAGAAATAACATATTAATATTCCTCGTTCAACGTTATAAATCGAGCGAATATTAACTCAACGATCAGAAGACATACAAATACAGAATTTTTGACTCCAGACATACTAGGCATCGCATAACTGACATAATGTGGTTGTGCCCGTCAAAAATTTACGTTGTCATTGTTTACTCCAATCAGTGCCTTATTTGGCAAGAGCCCAAATCTGTTAGGGTCGATGAGTGAGAGCTACCTACTGTATACACAGTGAAAGTCGATATAACAGACCATCAATATAACGGACCGTCAATAAAACGGACTTTTTCTCTGGAACGGAATTTGTTTACTAAATAATATCTGATATAAAACTCACAAGTCGATATTACGGACTCGTCAATATTACGGATTAAAACGCTGGTCCCGAACAGTCCGTTATATCGACTTTCACTGTGTATATGACACTAACATTACATAAACTGCCATGTTATTTCTATTTTTATGTTCTGTACAAAGTTTGTTAATCATTGCATTCTCCAAAAAATATCAACCCGTGCGATCGGGTCATAAGCATGTATGCCATTTTTAGCAAACCAGACAACGTTTAAGCCAAGAGCATAGTTGTCAAATATATATATGTTTAACTTTCCCGACATTAAAAAATAAACTTTCTTAACTGAATTTATTGACCAATAAAATTGCATGCTTAATGAAAGGTTTATGCTACCTCATTTGTACCCCACCTCAGATATATCCCAAAAAATCCCCATCCCAAAGTGGGGATATAAACGAGGTATGACTGTAGATACATACAGTATATCTAATACGTAGTTATATCTCCGCTTTAGATATATCTCTTCCCCAGGGTGGGCATGAAAGAATTGCTCGACGCGAGTTAATAAATAGTAATTTATGGTCTGGCGCAAAAAAGTTGTTACACCAGTACGCTTATAACGGAGAAAATTTTTACACATGCTTAAATAAATTGACTTACGGCCTGGGTTTTGAGAAATGTAAGCTTTATTAAAATATGTATCTATTACTATACGAAAAAAAGTTTACTAGCCGACAATTTCTTCAATTTCGAAATCTTCGCCATCACTTTCGCTAATACTGTATCATCGATTAAATTCTTATATTCTTTGATCCTACAAGTGGCAATACAACTCTCTAAAAAGAAACTTATTTCTTTCTTGTAAGTTTTCAAACCGACATCGTAATAACAGCAACATTTTTGGAAAATTCGTACAGTATGTTTCGTCATTCACTGCGGCTATAATAACACAAAATAGTTGTCCTTTTGAGAGTATATGGCTATATTCGAGTTTCTGTCGTAATAAACGCGTTGATGGTAGGAACCAAAATGTTTGCAGTCATAACGAACTTGTGTATGGGATTAACAACATTGTAACCAGGCTTTTCTTAGGCTTTTCTGCTCTGAGAATTCTTAATTTTTACTGCTATTATGTACGTATATTCAACAACCATTTGTGCGACAGTTATCTCTCCAATTCCAAGAACCAAAGCAGCCTCCTTATTATTATGTACTGGGCGTGCTTCTGATACTATCGGGTATTGAAAAACTGTTGAAACGCAAATAATTATCTTTTTCTCGTTACCTGTTAGAAAACTTCAGATCTTTCATGTGAAAGATACAGTAAATGAGCAAGCTGTTGTGAATATTTGAAGTTCGACTCTTTCCTTACATTCTACTCGATTTACATACTCGATTAGTGAATTTTGCAAAAGTTTCGTTTTTTGATAGATCGGCAGTTCCCATCCCAAATTTAGGATGCGTTTTTGATATATCCGCAATAAAGTCACGTTTTCACTGATACCCTGAAAGGTTTATCCGTTGCGTTATAATTGATCCATGATGTCAGACGTATAATACGTGGGGTGGCTGAAAAGTTCTGATCGTGCATTTTTATTTAGACAAATCCAGTAATAAGCAACAAAGTAATTATGACATTCCTTCAAAGTACTCTCCCCCTACTTCTATACATTTTTTCAGCCGATTCTTCCAACT